TGATCTGATAAAATGAGCCTAAGAATTTGAGAGAACAGTGTTGTGGGAATATAAAAGGCTTATCTGTGAAACGTGATAGAAAGCAGGCAAGACCCAATTCTACTGACTGGTAAATAATCTGAGTCAGTATTCCTTTTCTTAATGACTAGTCAACAGAAAATTTAGCTTTGCAATAGATCTTCTGCTGATCAACACTGTTTCTAAAATACTAGCTAAATGTTGTTTTAGAGTAAAAGGGATCATTTTTACATTTAACTGATCAAAGTAAAATTGTCAATCAGTTCAATGTGTCCCAGGAGCTTTTCTTATAATTTTAATGAGTGGCAAAAATTAAAATTAAAAAAATAAAACACAAACACTTTTCTGAAATCAGAGAGAGATACAAGGCCATCAATGAACTAAAAAACATGTCTTAGATGCCATCAAGAAAATTAAATGTACCATCAAATAATAATACTTGTAATGTTGATAGTTAATATTTCTTGAAAGCAGTAAGTACAAAGTACCAAAAGTGTTTTACATGTATTAGCTCATTGTACCCTCACAACAATTTTGAGGTACGTACTGTTATTTTTTTCCCCCTTTACAGACAAAAAGACTGAGGCTTAGAGTGGTTAGGAATGATTTTCTTTCTTTCTTTTTTTTTTTTTTGAGATGGAATTTCGCTGTTGTTACCCAGACTGGAGTGCAATGGCACGATCTTGGCTCACCACAACCTCCGCCTTCTGGGTTCAAGCAATTCTCCTGCCTCAGCCTCCCAAGTAGCTGGGACTACAGGCACGCACCACCATGCCCAGCTAATTTTTGTATTTTTAGTAGAGATGGGGTTTCACATTGTTGACCAGGATGGTCTTAATCTCTTGACCTCGTGATCCCCCTGCCTCAGCCTCCCAAAGTGCTGAGATTATAGGCGTGAGCCACCGCGCCCGGCCAGGAATGATTTTCAAACCCAAGACATCAAAGGCCCAAGCTCTTAGCCACTACTCTACACTGCTTCAAATAGGGCTCTTCCTCCTCATTTTTCTAATAAATCTTTATTGAGTCTTTATTATGTATCATTAACAGGGTGATTTGAGATATTTATGCAAGGTCAGAAAAAAATTAAAAAATAGACTGGTTCCTCTCTCCAAATGAAAAGCTGTAATATGACAACACAGGCTGGGCATGGGGGACAGGGCACGGGGCGGAAAGTGGGAGTGGAATTGCTCACTTTCTAAAGATGCTTTTCTTCATGGTATGGCAAATCTTCATTATTAATGAAATAAATCTCTTCTGAGGGTATGGATATGTTTCAGTGGTAGTAAATTTCACTTTCGTTCTAGTGAAATTCTTTCTACATAAAATTTTCATTAGCCTATAAAATAATTAGAATGGCAGCAATTTTTAAGTTAATTTTTAGCAATACGTGAACTTTTTTCTTTTCATTATACTTTCTATTCAATAAAGCAAACCCCATCTCTACTGAAAAACCTCATTTCATTGCTTCATGATCTATTATCATCTAAGGTCAAGCCAAGGAACGCTATAACCCACTAGATGTCAGGCCCCTGCCATCCACTTACTATCAAACAAAAGCTCCCTTTATAGACTATTTAAGTTACGTTGCCAAAGAAGTCCTTTATGACAGGGGCGTCCCAATCAATGCTCACTGTAAAATCCTAAGACCCCAGACAAGAAAACCTTCAAAAGATAAGTTTTAAAAATAACAAGTGAATCACAAATATAATTTATATTTTTAATGTATCTTTTTCTTTTAAAGGGAACAAAAAAAGTTTCCGACAAGTTATTACAACAACTTTTTCTAATTGCTCTCCATCTGTAGAGAGATACAAATAAAGACAGTAAAACTGGCTAATGATTAAGTCCGGTTCTACTGTTTTCAAGGGGAAAATCGAATGATAAAAAGTCAAAGTTTAAATTTAGTTACGGGACACAATTTTGTTTGATAAGAGGCAGAAAACTCATTTTTTTGTGATAAACATCGAGACATTTCTATTAGGCCCACGAAACAACTATGAACTATTATTAGCAGTTTTGTTTAAAGGCCAAGTTGGCCGGGCGCGGTGGCTCAAGCCTATAATCCCAGCACTTTGGAAGGCCGAGGCGGGTGGATCACTAGGTCAACAGATCGAGACCATCAACATGGTGAAACCCCGTCTCTACTAAAAATACAAAAAAATTAGCTGGGCATGGTGGCGCATGCCTGTAATCCCAGCTACTCAGGAGGCTGAGGCAGGAGAATTGCCTGAACCCTGGAGGCGGAGGTTCGGTGAGCCGAAATCGTGCCATTGCACTCCAGCCTGGGTAACAAGAGCGAAACTCTGCCTCAAAAAAAAAAAAAAAAGGCCAAGTTAAGTAGATTATGATACATCTTTACAAAGAATACTATTTAGTGATTAAAAAGAATGCACTTTAGGTTCTGATCTGTAACAGTCTCAGATACGTATGGTCAAGTGAACAAACAAAATGCAGAACTCTATAGTATGGTAACACTGGGATTTCAAACACACTCACACTGACTTGCACACAAACACAGAATAACTGTAAAGATGCTGAAACTACTGACAGACTCAGTGTTTACCGTTTATCTCTTTTACCAAATTTTATATTACCTATTTAAGAATTAGAATGAAATACAATTAAAAAATAATAAAATCAAGTCAGCTGCAAAAACTGAAGAGTCCTTTGTGCAGATTTAAGGACAAAGTTGAAACTGATGACAGAAGCACGTTGCATTAATATGAAGCCAATCATATCTTTACGATTTTCAAGATCGTAGCATTTGCAGAAGAAATCTTGATAAACATTTAAGAAAAGCAAAACCCAACAACAATAAATCCCAGTAAAGACCTTCATGTAACGAGAGCACCCACAGATAGACTTCTTTCTTTTGGTTGCACTATGTACCAAAAAAAAAAAAAAAAAAAAAAACATGCTTAGAGAAAGGGAACCAGCATTTACAAAGCACCTATTATATGTGAAGCATCTGATATATCTCACTGAATCATCATAACAGTCTGAAAGTTTGAATAATTATCCTTGAGGCTTGGGCAAATTAAGTAATTTTCCCAAAGAAACTTTGGTAAGTAGAGACAGGCTATAAGCCAGGCCAGTTTGGCTCCAAAGCCTGAGTCGTTTCTGGTATACCAGGTTGGCATTATCTTATAGAATAAAGTGGAATTGCAGCTGGGAAAGAAAGAAGCTAAGCTTTAGAATATAGGGTCCTATCAACAGGGAAATGTGCTTGTTATAAGAGACTTGGAAATAACTATTTCCTAAAGGACTTGTATTCCTAAATTACTTGTCAGTGACATTATACTTCATCATTTCTCAGGAAACACGGAATTACCTCTGATGTATTCTATCTTTATATCCAGTCTGTCATTTAATTTCTTCTCCCTTTGAAATGTTTTTCAGTTCTGCTGCTTAATGTACATTTTTACTACTATCACTGTAAGTGTACAAGTCTCTCTGACCTGTTTTTTCACCTCTAAAGCATGCTTACCAGGTTACATTTCCTAAAATATTGATTTTATTACCTCAACTTTCTATGTAAGATTCTATACTGGATCTCTTGGCATATCTCAGCAGGTATAAATTGTTACAAGCCTCTTTATAAAGCTCATAAGCTGGTTTTTGTTTACCAATTCACTTGTATCTAATTCTCTTTCATACCCACTCTCTACAGGTCACACTGTTTATGACTTCCTGCATACTTCTGCATCTTTGCTTTTGCTGTTATTCCTGACTGAACTCCTCCCAAATTCTTTTCATTCTTTGTGGTTCATCCTAATCTTGTCTTGTCTAAGAAACTGTTCCCAATAACCTCAAAACCTGTTATAGTCAGTATTACAATAATGACTTGATTATATATCATCTTGAAACATTATCTAACTTTTTTATTGTGCTTTAGTTTTGTCTCTTCAACTAGATTATACATTTCTTGAGGCCAGAGTCTGATTATGTCACAATTCTTCTAAAATCCTCTGGTAGCCCCATCATTTTAAGATTAAAGCTCAACTGCCTTCCAATGGCTATAACCTGGCTTCAGTCAATCTTTCTAGTCTAAGACTACTCATCTGGTACCCTGTACTAGCTACACTGAACTATCCTCTGTTCCCATATAAATATATGTATATTTCAAATATAAGTATTGTACATATATAGAGAAAAATATATATTTATCAATATTTATTTATTTCTTCACATCTTCATGCCTGTATTCTCTCTGCTGAGAATGTTTCTTTCTTTTCCCTGCTTGAAGCACCCCTATGTATTTATTTGTCCAGACTTGGTTCTAATGTTATTTTCCCTAAGAAGCTCTAAGAAGCCTCATCCTTGGGGAAAACAGTTGTCCTTCCTCTGTATTTCCATATTCCTTTGTGAATACCTGTATATACACACAGTGCATGGTACTACAATTCCTGGTTTAAATTTTTTTCTTCCCTACTATAATGTGGCATCTTATTCATCTTTGTACTTCTAGATCCTCACAGCAATAGTATATACAGATAGCAGGCATGAACATGTTGGTGGGATGAAAAGCAGATCTTCAATAATGAAAAAACTTAGATAATACATTTTCATATACATTTTATCTTTTAAAGTCTTCCTAACCACTCTGTGAGATGAGTATTAATATAACTATTTTACAAATAATGAAACTGACTCGGAGATTAAGTCCACAGCTCCACATCACAGAGCCTGTAAGTGGTACACTAAACACTCCATTCTTGATCTTCTGATTCTGGTTTGGTGCTCTTTGTAGTAGATTAGGCTGCCCTCATCCTAATTAACTGAACCCTTGCGAATTGCACATTACACTTCTCTTGTGGCTTTTATTATAGATCTATCTTAAATAAGATCAATTTGTGCTCTCATCTCAGCTCCTTGTTAGACTAAATTCCATGTTGGTGAAGAAGGATTACTTGCCTTTTTATCTCTTGCTCTGCCTGGCACAGTGCCTTACACATAGTAGGTGCTCATCAAATTGGACTGACCTGGAGAGCACTAGAATGGTCATTTTGACAGGCCAGTTCCTGCTCAACCTCTGAAACCTCCAGCAGATTCCGCTCACTGACCAATCGAGACAGTTCTCCAACCACTGTCACATGCTTTGAAACAGTCCCAGACATTTTCTTGAACTGTGGATAATTCTCAACAAAGGCCTGCCACGGGAAAAACATCAATGGGAGGTTCTGTTATTTTCTGACTGAGAATAAGCATGTATTGAATGGGGAGAGGGGTGGAAAGAGGGGTTGTTTTTCAGCCTAGATTAAAACATCTACAACTCTCAGCCACATGGCATTTTGTTATACTTAAGAAGAGAAGAACGCTGGGCATGGTGGCTCACACCTGTAATTCCAGAGCTTTGGGAAACTGAGGCGGGAGGATCACCTGAGGTCGGGAGTTTTAGACCGGCCTGACCAACATGGAGAAATCCTGTCTCTATTAAAAATATATAATTACACATGGACACAGAGAGGGGAGTACTAAACACTGGGGTCTATTGGGGGGAAAAGGGGAGGGCCAATGGGAGGGGGAGGTGGGGAGGGATAGCCTGGGGAGAAACGCCAAATGTGGGTGAAGGGGTGAAAGCAAACAAAACACACTGCCATGTGTGTACCTATGCAACTGTATTGCATGCTCTGCACATGTACCCCAAAACCTAAAATGCAAAAAAAAAATAAGAATAAAAAAAATATATATATATATATAAAATTAGCTGAGTATGGTGGCACATGCCCTGTAATCCCAGCTACTCAGGAGGCTGAGGCAGGAGAATCACTTGAACCTGGGAGGTGGAGGTTGTGGTGAGCCAAGATTGCACCATTGCACTCCAGCCTGGGCAATAAGAGCAAACCTCTGTCCCCACCACCAAAAAAAAAAAGAAAAGAAAAAAAAAGAAGAGAAGAACTGGTCTATGTTGGCAGACTGAGTCTTTAAATAGTCCAGATATTACTGAAGAATGGAAAGAATCACATGGCTTTTCATGAAGTTTTCACTATATTGTTTTACTTTTTTTCTTTTTAAAGATGGGGTTTCACCATGTTGGTCAGGCTGGTCATGAACTCCCGACCTCAGGTGATCCACCCGCCTTGGCCCTCAAAGCGCTTTCATTACAGGCATGAGCCACCGCACCCGGCCCACTATATTGTTTAATAAAAAGACATTACAGAAAATAAGTCTCAAACCAAATAAAATCAATCAAGGTAGAAATTAGACCCAGAAGATTCCAGAAGTGTTGCTTACATGAATAGTTCCAAAGTCTCACATGTCATTCATGTACATGTTCAACTTACCTTCATGTCTGCTATTGATTCGAGTTTTTGCTGCTCTTTTGGTTTCTTCTTCTGAAAGTCTTCCATGAGATTCTTTATATTGCTACCAATCTCAGCAAAATTCAGGTACATATTCTGTGAAAAAGGAAGTTGGAAGCACAGTTCATCAACTAGTCTGACTTTCAGACAACTTAAAAGAAGTGAAAAAGAATTCTGAACACAGAATTGAAGGGCAGGGAAATTCTATTTTAATTACCAAATTTGGACATTAGTCAGGACACTGGTGATGAATATCACTACTATTCTCACAAAGAGCTACTGGAGGGGAGAGAAGTAAATAACTATGTGATCTCCATGAAAAAAATATTGCTAAAGGGTCAGAACCCAAGTCTTCTGCCTTCCCTCAAAAGACAGTTTATCCATAGGATGCCTCTAACATCCTTTCACACAAAATCCCATGCCTGCCCCCATACTAACAAGCCAAGACTGATCTTCTTACATAAAAACAACTAAAGACAATTAAAAAACATTTTAAACCACCTACATTAGCATAGAATTCATCATTTTCAGCAGATAGGACCACTTCTCTTAAGTCTTTGCTGATCCCCGGCACTCTGGAAAGATCAATCCGATTGTTGTTTATGCCTAGCAGTTCATGGACCATGGCCTGATATGTCCACTAAATAAAGAATTATGAAAAAGAAATGATAACTGACAAACTATGGAAATAGTAAACATTCAGGAAAACAAATAAAAATTGATAATATTGTTAGTAACTAGTCTTGTCTACATGAAGATTCTCTAAATTTTATTTACACTTTGTGCTACCATAAGCATTAAGATTGTCATTTTAATTGGTTAAACAATGAGGAAAAGTCAAAATACTTTCAGATTTCACACTTTTGGAAGAAGGGCAGCAAGATTAATATTCTTGATAGAAAGAAAACAAATTAGAGCTATCATTAGCTCCAATTTTTGCCTGTGAATTAAGAGTATATTTTTGGCTTCACAGATAGAGCTATATTGGTACTGCAGTTACAAGCTGTACCATTTCCTGTATGCTTCTGTGGTTTTCTGCAGCATGAGAAGTGTGTTCCTGCAGATCTGAGTGGTACTATATTTATCCTGGGAACACTAATATTATCAGAAAAACCTTGTGAATTGATCAAAACATTGGCATATTTAGAAACTTACCTCTGAATCCATTTTATTTTATATTTTTACCTAATGGGAGTTGTGAGGAAGGATTGGTTTCTAGTCTCACAAAATGTGAATTTATTTGGTAAAACTGGAAATCAGAAATCTCTAAATTTTCCGTTTTCACCATTTATGGAGAATATATTACTTTCAGTCATAGGTCTATTAGACAAAATGAAGTATTTTCTAGCATGTTGCCTTCTGTATCTAAAATCTAAATGCTAGAAACATTTATATACATATTTTATCTTAAGAAAACTAGATTTATTAAGAAATAATTTAGAAGGTTATAAAAGAAGGTGCTTACTTCCCAAAAGATTTTTCAAAGGAATTCTTGAAAAAGCAAGTTCTAGTAAGGCACTTAATAAGTACAGCAAGGCCAGGCACGGTGGCTCACGCCTGTAATCTCAGCACTTTGGGAGGCCAAGGCAGGTGGATAATGAGGTCAGGAGTTCAAGACCAGCCTGGCCGACACGGTGAAACTCTGTCTCCACTAAAAATGCAAAAATTAGCTGGGCATGGTGGCACGTGAGTGTAATCCCAGCTACTTGGGAGGCTGAGGCAGGAGAATTGCTTGAACCAGGACCTGGGAGGCGGAGGTTGCAGTGAGCCGAGATCACACCACTACACTCGAGCCTGGGCTACAGAACGAGACTCTGTAAAAAGGTTCAACAAAATGTTTTATGCTTTTATAGATAATTTCTTGTGCATGCCTGTAGCACTTACTCTATAATTAAAATTATGTTTATTTCTCTCATCATTGGACCACGAGCTCTTTGAGGGCAGAAATTGTATTTTTTACCTTTTATCTCTAGTACTTAGTTTAGTATATGGCAAAAAACAAGTCTCCAGTGAAATCTGCTAGATAAATAGTTGCTTTTCTTTGGGAGACAGAATAATAAGTAATTTTCTTTCTACTTTTTGATATTATCAAAAATTTCTTCAGTGAACGTATAGTACTTTGAATTTTAGGAATACAGGACTATTTTATACTACAGAGAAGTTTCATTCCACAGATTTCCCTTAGGATTAACATTAACATAAGTGGGGAAGAAACTGAAACATCGACTGTGCCTTTCTCTGTAAATACAAAGTGACAGCAGGGCGCAGTGGCTCACTACCGTCATCCCAGCACTTTGGGAGGCCAAGGCGGGCGGATCACTTAAGCCGGACCCCGACAGTTAGGAATTCAAGACCAGCATGGCCAATATGGCGAAACCCCATCTGTCCTAAAAATATTTAATACATAAATTAGCAGGTGTGGCAGTGTGTGCCTGTAATACCAACTACTCAGGAGGCTGGGGCACAAGAATTGCTTGAACCTGGGAGGTGGAGGTTGCAGTGAGCTGAGATTACACCAGCCTGGGTGATAGATTTACTGTCTCAGTAAATAAATAAATACACACACACACATACATACATACATACATATAAAATCACTATTAATAAAGCACCAGCTATGTGCAAGGCACTGTTCTTATACTTGCAGGACAAAAACACTGGTGAGACACAGTCTGCCTTGAAAACACATGTAACGTAGGAGAGGGTGTAAACAACCAAAGCTACAACATGGCAAGTATAGCATGAGACATGAGAGAGACACAAAGGTCTACAGGATTTTCAGGAGATAAGAACATATCTGACTGAAAGAACATAGGCTTCAAGAAGAAGCTGAAGAATGGTGGGATGTTGGAGATGGCTTTTGAGTGTCTCTTTTTTTGAGACATAGTTTTGCTCTTGTTGCCCAGGCTGGAGGGCAGTGGCATGATCTCAGCTCACTGCAACCTCCACCTCCTAGGTTCAAGTGATTTTCCTGCTTCAGCAACCTGAATAGCTGGTATTACAGGCTCCCATCATTATGTCTGGCAAATTTTTTGTATTTTTAGTAGAGACAGGGTTTCATCAAGTTGGTGAGGCTGGTCTCGAACTCCTGACCTTAGGTGATCTACCTGCCTTGGCCTCCCAAAGCACTGGGATTACAGGTGTGAGTCACGGAGCCTGGCTTTTTAAAAATTCTTTGCTATTATTCATATAAATCATTTTGTTTTCTTCATTTATTAATTTATTTATGTACTTATTTATGGAGATGGAGTCTCACTTTGTCACCCAGGCTGGAGTGCAGTGGCATGCTCTCAGCTTATTGTAACCTCTGCCTCCTGGGTTCAAATGATTCTCCTGCCTCAACCTCCCAAGTACCTGGGGACTACAGGTGTGCGCCACCACACCTGGCTACTTTTTTTTGTATTTTTAGTAGAGACAGGGTTTCACCATGTTGACCAGTCTGGTCTTGAACTCTTGACCTCAGGTGATCCAGCCACCTTGACCTCCCAAACTGCTGGGATTACAGGCATGAGCCACTGCACCTGGCCAGATTGAGTGGTTTTAAAAGAGTAGTATTTTGATAGGTGAAGATGGGAAGAGAAGGTATTCCAACCATTCCAGAGTTTGGAAAGCAGTCAGAGTAAAAGCATGCTGGCAGGAAACTATGTGGCATTATTTACGTAAGTGGTGAGCTCTAGGTTTTCTATGAGGTTTAGCCCACATTGTGATGGCTCTCGGATGGCAACTTCAGGAGTTTCTTTTTAACGTAGTAGGCAAATGGGAACCAACGAACATTTTTAAGCCAACAGTAACAAGATGGAGAGTGCTTTAGAAAAAGTAATTTAATAACATTGTATTTATGGAACATTTAGAGTGAAAACAAATAAAAACTAGGGAATCAAGTAGATAACTATTTCAATATTCTTGTAAGAGATTAGGATCTAGACCAAAGCAATGGCAGTAAGAGTGGAAATGAGCAGATAGAAGGAAACACTGGAAAATGGAATCGACAGAATTAAGAAGTTTTCTTGATTAGGGGTGGGGGAACTGGCAGGAAGGTACAGGAGGAATGAGGCAGAAGAGTTAATGATGATAGTGGATGAAAGAATCATGACACCAAAACACCAGGAAATACAAGGCAAAACCAAGCGTAGCTAAAAACAAGGAGGCAAATAAATGGACCATGCTGTTTTTTCCATATCTGTATTTTGATGAGCATCACTTAAAATCTTCCTTCTATTATGCCAAGAAAGGGTTCTGTACCTGGTTTAGCAATGGGGTGATGGCATCATCACAGCGATCTAAAATAAGTAGCAATGGAGGAACCTCTGTCCGACGGAATTCAAACAGTTCATATTCTTTAGTTATCACTTGCTGTGAGTGAAAGAGAAAGATGATTTGCACAACCAATTAGTTACATATAGAGATGATATAAATAGGAAATTAATAAATAAAATCTACACTGAACAATAGTTCTTTGCAACACATAGATCTTCCATATAAAGGATTAAAAATATAATACAAAGTTTAAGAGTATACTATTTAAGAGATTAGGATTTAAAATCCTATAAGTGGTTTAACTGGACCAAAAAAAAAAGTTAAATAGCCTGTGAATGTTTCTTGAGTTAAACCTAAGAATCTGGCCGGGTGCAGTGGCAGCACTTTGGGAGGCTGAGGTATGTGAATCACCTGAGGTCGGGAGTTTGAGACCAGCCTGACCAACATGGAGACACCCCATCTCTGCTAAAAATACAAAAAAATTCAGCCAGGCATGGTGGCGCACACCTGTAATCCCAGCTACTCAGGAAGCTGAGGCAGGAGAATGGAATAAATCCGGGAGGTGGAGGTTGTGGTGAGCCGAGATCTCGCCATTGCACTCCAGCCTGGGCAGCAAGAGCGAAACTCCATCTCAAAAAACAAAACAACAACAACAAGAAACCCACCTAAGAATCTTAGCTCTAATTGTTTCTTTTTGTTTTAAATTACATATACCTACCTCTTTGCCTGGAAACCTAACATACAGTCATCTCCTTGGTTGTAAATAAAGTATTCCTTTAATTTCTGAAATATGATAGAGAAATGAATGGTCTCTATGTTCTGGAACCAGGAACAGGTAATGCCATACCTTAACGCACTCCGCAAGTCTCTTTGCTGCCTCTGATGAGAGCTGATAACGAATCATGGGACACTTCTTCAGAGACAAAAGGAGAGCTGTAAGCCCTTGAGTTGTTCTAGATAGCTGGGCTGGATCCCAATTTCGACCCTTTTTGTTAAAAACATATAGTCAGAGAAAATATTTTAATTTTCTCTTATGAGTCTATTTGCTGAATTAACTCTCAACTGAAAAATTAAACCTTTCCTTCCATACCTGGCAGCAACCCAAAATATTGAGGGAAAATAAATGTGGGTTCACAGCAATGTAATCACCATAAAATTCCTGCAAGTAAAGCACCAAGAATAGTCATTCCATAAACTTCAATTGTATCAAGCAGTACGACTTTCATATGTGATATAATACGATAGGGCCAAACTTGGTGAAATACAGGTTTAAAGAGATACAAAACTGATCAATTAATAATTGAGTAACAACAGTCAATGTGGGAGAATTAAAATAATTACAAAACAGTAGCAATAATAAATCTAAAAAATACAAGCTGTAAAAGTATACACATTGCATTTCTGGAGACCTCTATGCACACTTATCAATTAGTAAAAATGAAACACTGCTAATATGAGATACAATGTTCTACTCAGATAAGAAAGGACTTTGCTGTCCAATATATTTTCATGAGAGAGAATATAATTTAAAACAGGTCATTCTTTTTATGCATTTATCACCTAGCACATCCTTCTGAAAAATTCAAAACTAGTTTATCTGCTGCCTCTGAAAACAACATTCCTCACTTACGTGATAAACATATTCAAGTGTTCATAATAAAATGTCTTTTGGGACAGATGTTTCCTTATTTTTTATTTTTAGACTCAACTATTTGAAAAGGGCCAACATATGGGATGTGTCACAGGACCAATATGTTTACCTGAACCTCAGCCACCACTTCCTGTTCATCAGCTTCAGCCAATGACTTCACATCACTCTTGCTGATAACGTTACTGAAATCTGAAACAGACATACGAGTTGGGGTTGACTCAAAGGAGATCATTTCTGCTGCAATTATATGTAAATCAGCCTGCTAGTTAAAGCCTAATGAATAAGTGACCTTCAAATGGAAATGAGTAGCACACATATATTTAAATCCACAAATTCATAACTATATATATATATATATATTTACTTTAAAAGGACCACCATCTGAGGTACTGCAGAATGAGAATACTAGGGAACCAGGTCATTTTATTGAAAATAGCAAATAAGGAGAAAGAAGGAAACTTTTATCCTGTCTTTTACATATGAACTATACTACCAGGTAACCAAACAGATGTGGGAATTTTTTTCTTTATGAAAATATTCCAGCACAACAACAAACAAATGCTAATGACAGAATTAGAATATCATTTTTTCTAACCCCTAATGAATCAATTGAATGGACTCAAGCATTGAGCATCAGCAGCTGCAAGAACTAGAAGATAGAGGAATATTTTAAACTTCAAGGAACATGTTAAACTATCCCATGGAGATGCACTCTGCAAGATCCAAGCTGTGAAAAACTTAGCAGTTTGCTTCTTCAATATATAAATTGCATGGGGCAGCAGGGGCAGGGGTGGGAGGACCTACAGGGAAGGTTAAGAAACTTATCAACCAACAGCAATGTGTGAACCTTCCTTTGATCCCGATTAAAAAAAAAAACACTGAAAAAAAGAGATAGTTTTAAATTTGAATGCTGAATGGTTATTTGAAAATAGTACCAAGAGTTCAAGACCAGCCTGGGCAACATCACTTGAGCCTGGGAAGTTGAAGTTGCAGTGAGCCGAGATCATGCCACTGCACTCTGTCTAGGTGACAGAGGAGACTCTGTCTCCAAAAAAAAAAAAAAGAAAAAGAAAAGAAAAAGGAAATAATAAAGAATTACTTTTCATTTTTATCTAGATGTAATACTGAAATTGTGGTTTTTTTTAATAAATGAGTTCTTATCTTTTAGAGATGCATACTGAAATACTTATCGATAAAATTATATGATGTCTTAGATTTGCTTCAAAATCTGGGGGAGTAGGTGACAGTATAGCTAAAACAAGATTGGGTGAGGCTCAATAATTGTTGAAACCAGCTGATAGGTACATTGGGACTTAAGACACTATTCTACTTTTGTATGTCTTTAAAAGTTCTGGGACGGGTGTGGTGGCTCACGCCTATAATCCCAGCACTTTGGGAGGCCAAGGCACGTGGATCACACTTAAGGACAGGAGTTTGAGAACAACCTGGACAACATGCTGAAACCCCATCTCTACTAAACATACAAAAATTAGCCAGGCGTGGTAGTGCACACCTGTAATCCAAGCTACTTTGGAGGCTGAGGCAGGAGGATCTCTTGAACCCAGGAGATGGAGGTTGCAGTGAGCCGAGATTGTGCCATTGCACTCCAGCCTAAGCAACAGAGCGAGACTCTGTCTCAAATAAATAAATAAATAAAATTAAGAAATAAAAGTCCCATAACAAAAAGTTTTTTTAAATAGAGGGGCCTGTTACACAAAAGATTTTGTAACATAAAAATATTTTTTAAAAGTGGCTGGGCGTGGTGGCTCACGCCTGTAATCCAAGCATTTTGGAGGCCAAGACGGGCGGATCACCTGAGGTCGGGAGTTCAAGACCAGCCTGACCAACATGGTGAAACCTTGTCTTAAAATATATATATATATTTGAAGTATAAAAAATAAGATGAACAAGCTAGCTTCGTGTTGATATAAATTAGTGCTGCAAGTTACTAATGAATAAAATTACTACATACACATTCATTTTAGTTTATCTCAATCAAATAAAATTCTGAAATTGATTACATTAACCATTATTAATGTCAACTGCTGTAAGGAACTGTCTAGAGGAAAAAGGAGTCTTTTACCTTATGACCCATTCGGTGTTTAGCCAAGAGATTCAGCAAAAGAGTAATCCTATTATTATATATGTCTACTTGGCAGTACAGGGGATAATATATATATATACACACACACACATAAACACATATATATATATGATTTATGTACGTATGTATGTGTGTGTATATATATGTGTGTGTGTATATATATATATATACACACACACATACACACACACAAATATATCAGAGATCTCGCTTGTGATCATACTAAAAATACCAGAATCACTACACACCTATGTAAATGCCTAAAATAAAAAATAGAGACAACATCAAATACTCCCGAAGATGCAAAGAAACTGGTTCACCCATGCATTGCTAGTGAAAATGTAATATGGTATAGTCACTCAGAAAACATATGGCAGTTTCTTAATACACAAAACATGCAATTACCATATGACTCAGCAGTTGCACTCCTGGGGTTATTTATCCCAGAGAGTGAAGACTTATGTTCACAAAGACATCTGTATACAAATCTTTATAGCAGCTTCATTTGTAATAGTCAAAACTGGAAACAACTCATGTCCTTCAATGGTGAATAGTTAAACTGTGGTACATTCATATCATGGAATACTACTCAGCAATAAAATGAAATTACCTATTTTTAAATTGAAAAAAATTTTTTTGCAGCTCCAGCTCAAAGGAGGAATGAACTGTTAATACACACAACAGGCCAGGTGTGGTGGCTCATGCCTGTAATCCCAGCACTTTGGGAGGCCGAAACGGGGGGATCACCTGAGGTCAGGCATTTGAGACCAGTCTGGCCAACCAACATGATGAAACCCCATCTCTACTAAAAAAAAAAAATATATACAAAAATTAGCCAGGTGTAGTGATACGTACCTGTAATCCCAGCTACTCCAGAGGCTGAGGTGGGAGAATCACTTGAACCCAGGAGGTGGAGGCTGCAGTGAGTTGAGATAGTGACACTGCACACCAGCCTGGGTGACAAGGCAAGACTCCTTCTCAACAAAAACACAAACAAAAACAAAATCACACAGCAACCCGGATGACTCTCCAGAGAACTGTGCTGAGTGAAAAAAGCCAGTCCCAAAAGCTTATATACTGTATGATTTCATTTATAGAACATTCTTTGAATGACAAAAATTATAAAATGGAGAAAATATTCGTGGTTACCAGGGCTAATGAGGGGATTGGGGAGGAAAAGAAGTGCATACAAGCTAATAACAGGGAAATATAAGGAAACCTTATAGAGACGAAAATGTGTGTCCTGACTGTTTCCGTGTTAACGTCTTGGTTGTGATATTGTGCTATGGTCATGTAAGATACTACAGAGCAGGAAGCTGGGTAAAGGGTTTCTGGGATCGCTGTACTATTATTTTTTACAACTGCACATGAATCTACAATTACTTCAAATTAAAAAATTTAATTTAAAAAAGAAAACCTGCAACTATTAGTCAAAAAACAAACAGACAAAAACAAACAAAAATTAAGATGTCATAGATTAATAAAATTGCCTGTTTTTAGCTCTTGGGGCATTGTGCACTGAAAACCCACTGGGCAAGCTTTATATAACTTTTCAGTCCTACACAGAACTGAGTGAAATAAAACACGAGAGAGCTCTTATATATATAAAGTCTTTCTACAGATGTTAATGTTTTGTATCATTATTCTATTTAAATAGTATACACTGAAGAAAGTATATATGTCTTAGACTGTAGTCTACACTTTAAAACTCTAATACCTTTAAGTAAGCTTTAAAACTTCTCGGCCGGGCGCGGTGGCTCGAGCCTGTAATCCCAGCACTTTGGGAGGCCAAGGCGGGTGGATCACGAGGTCAACAGATCGAGACCATCCTGGTCAACATGGTGAAACCCCGTCTCTACTGAAAATACAAAAAATTAGCTGGGCATGGTGGCGCGTGCCTGTAGTCCCAGCTACTCAGGACGCGGAGGCAGGAGAATTGCCCGAACCCAGGAGGCGGAGGTTGCGGTGAGCCGAGATCGCGCCATTGCACTCCAGCCTGGGTAACAAGAGCGAAACTCCGTCTCAGGAAAAAAAAAAAAACAACTTCTCAAATGCCCTACTTACTGTTAAGTCTAGTCTTTGGGGTGGAATGTTACCAAATAGACTACATTAATACTATTAATATAAAGATCGATAATGACATCTAGAGGAAAATAGATGTAACTTCCACAGCCGAATGTATTGGATCAAAAAAATCCATGTAAATTGCACAGAAAACACAAACCTAGTTTATTTCCAGACCTCCCCTATCCAATCCCCACTCCAGGAAAGTTGTGGACATAAGAGATCACAACCTGATGATTTATACTTTCAACGCATTAAATATAGTAACAAAGAGAAATGAAATGCTTTTATCTGGTATGTAAAGTAAATCTCTGCTTTTCCAACAAACTCAAATAAGTATTACCTTCCCACTTCAAAAAATACATCAGCTTCCATAACTCAATTCCTAAGTATAAAATAGAGATAAGCATATACTTTTTCTCGGCAGGGATGAGATGTGAAATTTGGCTACTTACAACTTTTGACTTACAAAGCATCTTGAAAGGCAAAGTAAAACATAAAATTTTAAATTTAAGCCATCAAAGATGAATGGAAATCACAGTTGGCCCAGTGAAACAGAATGTTGGTCAGAAGATTTTTTTTTTTGAGGTGGAGATTTACTCTTGTTGCCCAGGCTGGACTGCAATGGCATGATCTCGGCTCACTGCAACCTCCACCTCCTGGGTTCAAGTGATTCTCCTGCCTAAGCCTCCCAAGTAGCTGGGATTACAGGCATGCGTCACCATGCCCGACTAATTATGTATTTTTAGTAGAGACCAGGGTTTCACTATGTTGGTCAAGCTGGTCTCGAACTCCTGACCTAAGGTGACCCGCCTGTCTCAGCCAAAGAGCTGGAATTACAGGTGTAAGGCACCACACCTGTCAGGTCACACCTGTCAGGTCAAAAGATTTTTAATACTTTGGAAGGACATTAAATAAACTAGACTTTCATAGTGACAGATTCAGTGAAATTACTGATGATACAAAGGGCTCAATGAAACATACTAACTGGGATGTTGCTATGTGTTTGAAAAAGTGAACTAACAAACTTACAGATGAAATATATACTGTATTTGGGTCTTCGAAGCTCCTGAATCATATAATCCACATTCTCCTAGAAAATAAAGAACAAGCAAACAAAATATGAGGAGGATTGCTTAAGGAAAAAAAGTAATAAGCATCATCCATTGATTTAATTATTTACTGGGTCTACTGCGTATTAAAGTCTAGGTTAAATGTGTATATGTTGGCAGGTAAGGACTGGAGACAAAAGAGATAAATTAATACAATGATCAGGAATATTATCTATTATGTAATTGTATGTGTATAATATTAAATATTAACCAGCTGCATTATTTTAGCCAAATTAAAATAAAGAATATAAGGACACAGATGTTGAAATACAACATAAAATTCATTCTAATTCAACTCACATCAAGCTGCTTGTCTATAAATTGTACTCATTTGATCAAAATTCTTTTTTTTTTTTGAGATGAAGTCTCACTCTGTTGCTCAGGCTGCAGTGCAATGGCACAATCTCAGCTCACTGCAACCTCTGCCTTCTGGGTTCAAGCAATTTTCTTGTCTCAGCCTCCCAAGTAGCCAGGATTAAAGACATGTGCCACCATGCTCAGCTAATTTTTTGTATTTTTAATTGAGCTGTTTCACCATGTCGGCCAGGCTGGTCTCGAACTCCTGACCTCCAGTGATCCACACACCTTGGCCTCCCAAATTGCTAGGATTACAGGTGTGAGCCACTGCACCTGGCCTGATCAAAATTCTTATATAGAACATCAAAATGTATCTATTCTTTAAAAAATCAACATTCAAGAGAAAATACAGTTAATTATATTCACTTTGGCTTTTAATTTATTGGGATCTAAGCCTGCACAACTGCAATGCTTGTGAAGTACTTGCAAGTAGTAGGCTAAGACCTTTTCCATAATTATATTATTTTAAAATTAAAGTATGAAAGTTAAAAACAAAAAAGTTGATTTTTAAATGGTCAAAATGTAAGAATTACAACTACATAAGATTATAATGCAGGTTTTATTGATTTTTGATACATAACACCTGGTTAAATTTCAATATATATTGTCCCCTAAACGTATTTCATTTACTAATTTGTTTTTAAAATCACATTTATTTACAGAATTTTTAAAAATGTAAGCAACGTACACTGCTTATTAATGGGAAAAAGGTTTTACAAACTGTTTAGATTTAAAAATGCACTCAAATTAACTTTATAATATAATCTTAAAGCAAAACATTTTAATAAATCTTTTAAACCAAAAATCACTTCTTCGCAATATGCTAGGCAAAAATAACAAAGTGAATTAAAAGATTCCTAAAAGTTCAGAACATGTGGAAAAAGGCAAAAGATAACAGAATATATAAAATGAAAAAAAGAAAAAGGAAGAATTGTTAAAAGAGTTTGAGAGACAATACATAGCAGTGAGTTTCTCTAATAAAAAACGTTAGGAAATAACGAACAAGATGATCTCTAAGATCCCTCTTGAACCAAATTTTCATGACTAAGTGCTATAAATATGAAACAATTGGAAACTATTATAACATAGCATGTATTCATGAATTCGGCAACTATTTATTGAGTGTCCACTGTGTGGCAAGCATTGGGAATACAGGATGAGAAGAAACAGATATTGTGTCTGTATTCATGGAGCTTACTGCTGGTAATCACGCACACCATACAAAAGTTCAAACCATGACAAGCAATAGGGAGATAAAGATGGTGTTGTAAGTGCATATAAGAGGCAGGTTTGACCTGGTCGGCAAAACCAGGAAAGCTTTACTTGAGGAAGTGAAGTTCACAGCAGAGGAAGAGGCCTATGCAAAGGTCCTGCGGCATGACGGAACAAGGGGAATATAGCGGATTGAAAGATTAGGGGGGCTAAGGTGCAGAGTTCAAAAGTGAAATGGTTCAAAATGAGGCTGGAGAAATGGCAGAAACTAGACCATGCTGCACCTCGCGGCCTACAATTAAGGAGTTTTGCCCTTATCATAAAAGCAATGAGAGGTCATTCAAGAATTTCAAGCGGAAGTGTCATGATCAAATTTGCATTTCAGAAAGCACATAATGTACAAGCATGGTAAAATGCATTAGAGTTGAAGAACATGAATATGAAACAAGAAAGTATAAAAAATAAGATGAAAATAAGAAAGAATTTTAATTTTTAATTTTCTAAATTTTATTTTATTATTTTTTTTAAAGATGGGGTTTCACCATGTTGGTCAGGCTGGTCTTGAACTCCCGACCTCAGGTGATCCACCCACCTTGGCCTCCAAAGTGCTTGGATTACAGGCGTGAGCCACCGCGCCCGGCCTAGGAAAGGATTTTCAAAGGAGAGACTCAAGCTAGATTTAGAAGGTGATGGACAAAAACTGACAAATGACCAAAGAACTTTTAATTAGTGAAAGAAGAAAAACAAATAGGGAACAGGAATGAGCATGTAGAATGGCTCATTCCAATGGCAGCCTAGCTGGCTATAGAGGAGAAGCAGATCTAGGACATAGGAAGGCTGGATACAAATGTGCAGCTCAACTAAAGAAGGGCTTTAACTGCTGGCTAAATAAAGATTTAATCATGGAAGTAACACTGAGTCATTACAGGTTCCTGAGCGTAAATGTGAATAAAGTGGTAAAGATTCAAGACATTCATAGCTGTACATAAAATGAAGTGTTGATGGTGTTCAATGTGACAGATACAGAGGTTAATCCAGGAATGAAGCAATGTGGTCTCTGTTGAGAGTAGCTCTTTAGTGGCAATGGGAATAGCTGTGAACCTAAAAGATATCTTGAAGGAAGAACTGGCTGTAAGGGGTCAACTGAAATATGGAAACAAAACGAGAAGAAGGTTATAACACTGATGATCCAGGATAGTTATGATGCCACCGATAATGATAATTACAAATCATGATAATACAAATTTATTTTGCCGTCTTAATGCTTTCAGATCAGAGTGTTCTGCATCTGCCTGGGCAGATGGCAGCCCAGTTTATGCAGTACCTTTGTAGGTCGAAGAAAACAAATTGCCTTCAGGTGTTTCATGATCTCTCGATTTTGAGAATCAATGCGTTCAAAGAGGTACACTTCTTTCTGAAGAATCTCCGACTGTGTGTACACCATACTCACTATGCCAGTCTGTAAAAACAAAGAATTAACTAAAAGTATGCTAGTCTAGAATAATAAAAACAAGTAGCATATCTAGCCTCTTTTTTCATTAATACTTAGCTGGATAAATTAAATAGTAATATATGGAATAACATTTACTGAACATCCAAACAGGTAGGTAACATACGAGAATGAAAAATATACTCTATCCTTTCAGCTGAAGCTTCAAGGTTAAAAAAAAAAAAAAAATCCTCTCTTTTAACAGGAACAATCCATACATTTCCAAAAATAATTTTTTCTATCACCTTAACGAGTTTTGTTTTCTGGTCTTGGCCCACAAATAACCTGTCATTTCAGCTTGAGCTCCAACAGCTTTACTTTAAAACACAATGTTGAGTGGAAACAGTGGGCCCATCCCAAAGTCTTCCAAGTGCTCTGACATATTCATGATTTCTTTTCAGAGGCTTTTAGAAAAAGATTTCTGATTCCAATAAATTGTTCCGGGTAGAAGTAGTCTCTGGGCAGTGGCTGGAGCCATTTAGACTGAAAATCCATCGTACAAGCTTTATACAACTTTTCAGTCCCACACAAACTGACCCCATTTTCATATCTTTACATTAAATGCTAAATCCTACAGTGGAATGAGACCAGCCTTTGTAAGGTTGAGAGGGTTCCTTCACAAATGCTGAGCAAAAGCAAACTCACCGTCTCTTTATCCATGAGAAGTACTTTCATACCAGGCCCGCTGTCCTCTATCATTTTGGAAATGTACTGCTTCACAGCAAAAACCACGTTCATGGTGGCGAATTGACAGGTGTCCCAGAGCCCTTCCCGCCCCCTTTTCTGGCTAAATTAACCCCCCGGTTTGTTGGCGGGGTCTCAGCTGCTTCCTCCCTGCAGGGCTTGGCTTCCGGGAGTCCGGGCAACCACGGTGCTGGGAGTTGTAGTTCCGCTGGAGAGTACGGGGGACCAAGCCTACCCCGGAGATGGAAAAATCTGGCTGAGACGCCCTGGGCCGCCGCCACGCGGGGGCGCTATTCTACACCCGCATGTAGAGGTGTCTGTGGCCGGGACTCTAGACCCGGTTTGGCCTTTGGTCCCGGAGGCCCAGCCGCAGCCTGAAGCCCAGGAGAGTGGAGCCTCGCAAAATGAGGAAGCTGGCACAAAGCTTGTTTGGAAGCAGGAACGACGGATCGGGGCCATGGTCACTATCTGCGATTAACGCTTTCTTGCGTGGTAGCGAGAGATGAGGGCAAGGGAGGTGGCCTAATGCTCCCGGCCATTTGGGACTCAGAGAGAAGGCATTTAATAAACCACGCGCGGTATTTGCGCAGCAGTGGTCGAGATTCGTCTTCCTGGCTTCACCGGGTCATTAATAAGGCGGGAACAGTGCCTCTGTGTTGGGGCTGCAGAGGCCTGAATTGGTTTTCCCAAGACAGAGGGCATATGAAATTGAACAAATGTTTGTTGAATGAACAAAGGGAACGCCTTTTACGGATGTTTTGGGGAAGAGGACTGCGGTTCCAGCTAGGGTCGGCCTTGGGGGCCCGCAGCCTGCAGGACCACCGGACCTGCGAGTGTCTCTCTCTGCCCTGCCCCCGACTCAGCATCCTGAGCAATTGAACTCTGCCAGCTCCAACTCGCGCGCTGAAACTGCAGGCAAGAGCCGAGTTGCCTGGGTCCTTTGAAATGGGTAGGGAACACGTATCCCGTAGAGCTAAAACAAAGTAGCGTGGGGATTCGAAGCAAAAACTCTCAAGTTTTTATTGAATCTTGAAACCATCAACTTGGAAGGTCTGCATTTGTGTTTACACCACACAGATCTCCCCCTATGAAAAAGAGAATAGATGTTTGGTTTTTGCCCCTTTACTTTGGGGAATTGTAAAATCAGGAAGATGAGAAACAAGTGCTAGAAATCAGTAACTATAAATGCTTATGAATAGTTTCACCAAAATAATGACAGAGTTTGTGGTCAATAGATTCAGCGTTACCAAATAAATTCTTTATATTGTAAGAAATACACGATTAAAATAACCAATAGCACTTTAGCATTAATGTGCTTGAGATTATGCAACATTATATACAATTTTCAAATCCCTTAAGGAAGATCGGAACCACTGAAATATAAGAGATTTTTGTCACCTCTGAAACTGTGAAGAATGTGTTTTGTTTTGTTTTTCAATTTTTCTACCAAGTAAATAAAGCTTCCCTTTAGGCATTTTCTAATTTTTAGATGTGTTTTGAATGAAACATCTTGTTATATATTAAAGTCAAAATGTGAATATTTAAATGGATACAAATAAGAAAAACTAGTGTTATACGCAAATTTCATTCTTACCAATTTAAATGTTCATATCTTACAGAAAACATAGAAACAATGCTAATGAAAATCCTGTAAATTTCTGATATTTGAAAATCCACCACCAATCTCCCATGTCACTTAGTTTTTATTTTTCTTATCTATAATGTGGACTGCAGTATAGAAAATTTTTTCCCATGTTCTGCTTATTTTAAGAAAGACGGAGATAAAGACTTGTGCATGAAATGAGTGCCTCTTTAGACAGCAATCTGTAAGCAATAGATGGAAAGAATCTGCATCCTTTTGATGATTTATACTTGCACACAGAACTTTTTGAGGGAGGAAGAAAATGCCTACTTGACAAAGCTTACTAACTCATTCCAATTTCCCGTAAAATTCCATTGATGTCAGTGGCAGTGATATTTTATACACTGGGTGATATGATATGGAACATACACATTTTGAACAAAACAAGTATTACATATTTAAAGGGTGCTGTGATGGTCCTGAAGTTAGCTTGCTTCCTTCCTGAAGAAAACCACACAAGCCATTTTAAATGCCTCCAAATTAAGAACTTCTTTTGTATCCCCATACCTCTAAAAATAGGACTGAAACCAATGATAAAGTCCAAACTCTTGCTTTGTGACCCATTCGGTCTAAACCCAGAGTTACTTGTTTTGTCGTAGGCAAGTGACAGCAAATCCAGAAGCCAATATGAAGTGCCTACTTATTTTTAATTTAGGGTATAAACTATAATAAGAAATATTTTCAATAGTAAAGACATTAAATTAAAAAAACATCATGACATCCTTCAAATATGAATGATTACATTAACTTAAAATTTTCAACTTGAAAAAAATTTGTTTTCACTGGGTCCAAGAAATCAGTGCTCTAAAGGATAGAAAACAAGAAGTCAAAAAATGTAGTATTGGTCAGGAGGGTGGCTCACTCCTGTAGTCCCAGCACTTTGGAAGCCTGAGGCGAAGCCAATCGCTTGAGTCCAGAAGTTCAAGACCAGCCTAATCAACATGATGAAACCCTGTCTATGCAAAAAAATATGAAAAATTAGTTGGGCATGGTGGTCAGTGCCTGCAGTCCCAGCTACTTGGGAGGCTGAGGTTACAGTGTGCCTTATAAGTATGTAAGTTAAATAATCAGGAATGAGGCGGGGCGTGGTGGCTCATGCCTGTAATTCAAGCACTTTGGAGGCCAAGGCAGGCGGATCACCTGAGGTCGGGAGTTCAAGACCAGCCTGACCAACATGGTGAAACCCTATCTTAAAAAATATATAAATATAAATAAATAAATAAATCAGGAATGATTATCCAAATAATTAAATGTACTTCAGTTTTCTCCAAAGTGTATACTATTTAGAGGTTTAACTGCCCATTTTGTGTTTAATCAAAATCATGGTCTTCCCCATCAGAACTCAAGGCTTCAATAGAAAACAAATAATATGTAAATAAGCTTCAGTATAATTATAATAACAATATGGCCAACTCTTGGTTATTTTAGATTAGCAATTCTCTCTTTACCATAATCCTTGTTGCTTCCTATTAACACTTCTCTCATGAGCCATGGATAAGAAGGAAGATGAAATTTAATGAAACTGAAGTTAATTAGATTTCCTACTTGATAACAATTGAAAAAAAATTCGCATAAAGTATGTCAGTATTGGCCAGGCACAGTGGCTCATGCCTGTAATCCTAGCTGTTTGAGAGGCTAAGGCAGAAGTGTTGCTTGAGCCCAGGAGTTCGAGACCAACATGGGCAACATAGCTAAACCTTGTCTCTACAGAAAATTTGTCTCTACAACCAGATGTTGGCCGGGCGTGGTGGCTCACGCCTGTAATCCAAGCACTTTGGAGGCCAAGGTGGGCGATCACCTGAGGTCGGGAGTTCAAGACCAGCCTGACCAACATGGTGAAACCCTGTCTTAAAAAAAAAAAAAAAAAATTAACCAGGTGTAGTGAGTGCACCTGTGGTCCCAGCTACTCAGGAAGTGTGGTGCTAGGATTGCTTGAGCCCTGGAAATCGAGACTGCAGTGAGCCGTGTTCATGCCACTGTGCTCCAGCCTGGGCGAGAGTGAGAAAAGAGGGCCGGGCGCGGTGGCTCAAGCCTGTAATCCCAGCACTTTGGGAGGCCGAGGCGGGTGGATCACGAGGTCAAGAGATTGAGACCATCTTGGTTAACATGGTGAAACCCCGTCTCTACTAAAAAATATACAAAAAATTAGCTGGGCATGGTGGCGCGTGCCTGTAATCCCACCTACTCAGGAGGCTGAGGCAGGAGAATTGCCTGAACCCAGGGGGCGGAGGTTGCAGTGAGCCGAGATCGCGCCATGGCACTCCAGCCTGGGTAACGAGCGAAACTCCGTCTCAAAAAAAAAAAAAAAAAAAGGAAAAAAGAAAGAATGGCAGGATTGCTTGTGTCATACAACCAGTATTTGTGCAGAATTCTTAACCTAACCATTTTCTCATCGGATAAATGGTAATAACATAACCTACCTCACGAATTTGTGAGAGTTAAATGAAATGACGTGCAAAAAAAGTATTTTACACAGTGGCTGGCGCACGGTAAATGCTCAATGAATATCAGCTTTCATTATTGGAAATCCAAAGGGTAAACATGCATTTTAGCTTATTTTTCACTTATGGCATGTTTATTTGGCATTGAAAAGAAAATTTAAAAATAGAATCAATTTCCGAAAATGTAAGCCATAGCTTCTGCCATAGCTTCTAAATATAATTTCCATTAAGACTTATTCTTGTATTACTATACAGTAATGGAAATCCTAATGGGAAGATTTGACCTGCTTCATCATAATTTGTAAAGCATGCGGTTTTTAATGAAGAAAAAACTTAGGAAAAATAGACTCCAAATGATTTCAGAGGCTTAGTGTCTGTGCAGCCTCAAATCAAATAGAATTTGTTGGATTTTCATCGCAGTTCACCAACTGTGAAGTACTGGGCTTTATGGCAACAAAAGCGTGTAGTAGCTTTAAATCATTAAGTAAAAATTATCTGCATGAAGAGTTCTGTCTGCACATTTAACAATTTCAGTGATTCCCCCTTTCTGAGCAGTAAACTGATAACAGCTACAGTGAGAATGTTACAGCTGGATTGACTAGGAGCTTGACTACCAGCTATCAAATCCTGGGCAGAGCCCTTTAAAATAACTATCCTGAATTCATACTTTTGATTAAAAAGAAGTTCACCATTTGTAGTATTTTGAGATGGCCAAAGAAGTTGGATTTCTGTATGGGAACCACTCCCCAGCAAGAAACATTTCTTTTTTTTTTCTTTGAGACAGGGTCTTGCTCTGTGACCCAGGCTGGAGTGCAGTGGCGCCATCTCGTCTCACTGCAACCTCTGTCTCCGGGTTCCAGTAATTATCATGCCTCAGCCTCCCGAGTAGCCAGCACTACAGGTGCCTGCCACCAAAGCCCGCTAATTTTTGTATTTTTAGTAGAGACGGGGTTTAATTTTTGTGTTTTTAGTAGAGACAGAGTTTTACCATGTTGGCCAGGCTGGTCTGGAACTCCTGGCCTCAAGTGATCTACCTGCCTTGGCCTCCCAAAGTGCTGGGATTACAGGCAAGAGCCAGCATGCCTGGTCTACAACATTTTCTATCTGCAGAAACTACAGGTAATATACTCAGAGACCTGAGTAATTGAAATTTTAGTTAAATAAGATCTTTGCATTCCCAAGGATCAAATGATCTAGCCTGAGTGAAATTTTGGTTGTATTGAGCTTGTTATAAATATAAGTCAGAGCCAGCATTGGTGGGTCATGCCTGTAATCCCAGCATTTTGGGGGGGCCGAGATGGGTGGATCACTTGATGTCAGGAGTTCAAGACCAGCCTGGTCAACATGGTGACACCCCGGTCTCTACTAAAAATACACAATTAGCGAGGTGTGGTGGCTCTGGGCTGTGATCCCAGTTACTTGGGAGGCTGAGGCAGGAGAATTGCTTGCACCTGGGAGTTGGAGGTTGCAGTGAGCTGAGATCACGCCATTGTAGTCCAGCCTGGGCAATAAGAGTGAAATTCCAACTCAAAAAAAAAAAGTCAGGTTTCCCCTTCACTTTTTAATTAGTTCTAGGCCATTGTATAGATCAGCAGCTTTCAAAATGTAGACTGTACACCATGATAGTTTTGTAAGTTGCTCTGATATATAAAACAGAATGTGATTTTGTTTAAGAG